ACAACAGACTGTGGAGTGGGCCCACATGCAGCTGGGTTACTTGTTCCGCTGTGTGTGTGTGTGCCGGGGTGTCTACTCACTGTTGTACTTATCCTGTGATTCTCACCGAACAACACGGCAGTCACCCGAACCCTAAGACCCGGTCAACGGTCCATACTTCGCCATATACGAGGCTAGAGCAATAAGTTTCCGGATGTATACAAAGTTTTACTTTTTACAACAAACTAAGCATTACATTTTGTCGAGATACACTCTACTAGCGTTCATACACAGTTCCATGAGCCCAAACCATTTGGAGAAGCATCTAGACCATGCCGATTTGGGCAACTCTTCAAGCAGCTCAATAATGGCCACTTCTGTAGCTTCTGTGGACTCGTAGCAGATTCCACGCATCATGCAATTGACATTTGGGAACGCACAAAAGTCACACGAAGCCAAATCTGTACTGTAGGGTAGGTGGTCAACCTCGAAAGTGTTCTCTAGCCAGAAAATCTACGACATGAGACCTGTGTACAGGTGTGTTGTCATGGTGCAACAAGGTCCCTTGTGCTCGAGTCCTTGGATGACGTCTGGCTCCATCTTCCAGCACTTGTGGTAAACAGTGAGTGGCATACCGGTCTCCCGCTGACTGTGTGTTGCCATATGAGTGGCCTTGGCCACGAAACAGCCACCATCTGCCTAGCCACACTGTGCTCACGTCAGGATTTCCGAGGCGGCGCCTCATCAGCAGCCGTCCACTGAGCCTATTGTTGCTTGATCTCTGAGTCTAAACTGTACACCCAGGTTTCCTCACCACTAAGGATCTCCCAAACAGCATTGGAACGTCCACCATCAAACCTGTCAAGCACGGTACGGCACCAATTCGCATGAATTGCTATCTGGTTCTCACTGAGATGATGGGGTACCCAGTGGCACAAACCCTTCTGAGGCCGAGGTTCGCGAGTATAATGGTGCGGATTGATCCCGATGGCTTTCCCTAGCTGTACCACAGTCACCCACCCGTCGTTTTCCGGCATCGCTTGCACAGCAGCGTTGTTGTCCGCGGTGGTGGCCTCTAAAGGTCGACCACACCGCGCTTCATTATCCAGGGACCGCGTCTCACCCTTGAATTCTTCAAACCACTCCAACACGATTTTTGTTGATGTCCCATTATCACCAAACGCAGCACGCAGTCACTCAACCCTGGTGCTGCTTTGGACCACATAGAAAATCATCTCCCTCCAGTGACATCGACCGAGTTCCATACTTACAGTCAGAGTATAGCGACCCTTATGGCTTGTGGGCTATGCTGGGCTACTGATATACTATTCTGTGAGTTGAAATCAGTGGAGAATCTCCGGAATGGATTAAAGTTCATCTTTTTCTTCCCAGGTCATCTGCACCTAATCTGTGTACTATGTATCCGGTAACTTATGGCTGTGCCCTCGTATTCGGTTGGCCAGTCTTAACTTTCCTTCAAGTAGTTACACTTTCAAGAACGACATGCTGATGTTAGCGATCATCAAGGACACGCGTGGGTCAGACAAGCCATGGCCAGCCGTCCAAGTACAAGGTTTAACCGTTGCTGCACCGGGAATTTTGTTACTGGACGCTACCCTTCGCACTTCGGGATCACCTACTCGGTTGGAAATTTTTGATTCGTACTCACTTGCGATCCTCAGCGAAAGCGGTTTGCCACAGAAGAAGGGACGAATTAGACTACAAACCGGCTACTGTGTTCGATGGACAGTTACTGCTCTTCTACCGTCGGTTCCGGGAGTAGGGTTTTGTGTTCGAGGGTTCTTATTTCTAGCCGGCGATGCAACGACGAAGAGTATAGTGATCTATACTCTGTTCACGTGTGGTGATGTGGACATGGTTCAATTTCACCGGACGGATTATTTGCAGGTGACCCATTACTGTTATGTCATCGAGATATCCGACTGCGAAACCGTCAATCCGCGACCCGGTTTACAAGAAGGCAGCAGATTTATCGCATCTCTTCAACCACTTAGCGCTTGACAAAGTTCGCGGCGCTTGATATTGAGTTAATTGAACTTTATGAACCTCAATTAAAGCGGGCATTTCAAAATTTATCTACCCTTTGGTCTCGAAGTTAATCGAATTTCTCATAGTTTCCAGATAGACTTGTGTCGATCTTCCAACGGATGATTTCCGTCAAGCGCGAACAACCTAGCTTCCGTTTAGATGGAATACGTGTACAACGTTTCACATTGCTTCGTTTTTGTCGAGTTACTGTCCCAACTATTTCTTTTTCCACGTACTCTCATCCCTTGCTTTGCTTTTCTGCACTCACATGGCTTGTGTTCAGCAAGTCCATCCTCATTATTTGCCCAACTATTGCCTGATTTTACTATTTTATTTCTGCGTTATTCAGTATTGCGGACGATTGGTTACCACATCGTCTGGTTTACTTTCCTGTCATTCCTTCGCGTTAGTCAGTTACCACTTGATCTTCCCCTTGTTCGTCAGGCCACGGCAGTCGAAATTTCACATTTGTGTTTGTATGTACTCTTCCGTAGCTATGTTCAGGGGTCTTTTGTGGGGCTAACGATTTTATTACTGCGACGCATCACTGTGCACACATTTCCATATCCTTAACTACCCTTTACGTTTCGGCCCCGTAGCGAACGCCAGATTACTACTTTTGTCTACACGCACTGTGGAGTGCTGTTTGCAACCGCCGTCATACCCATATTTGCTTGTTTATAAGTTCCACGTGTGACGGCTTCTCACTGTTGTTGTTTCTGACCGGATATATCGCCGCACAGCGGACTGTGTTGTCTTTCCTGCATTTCCTCTGACAACCGCGGTCAACACGCCCACCTTTTTTGGTCGGAATTGGTGCATTTCGGTGATGAATCGACTTCGGTTGACACCGCTGCAGCTTACTCCCAGCAGCGTTTATCCAATAAGAAACAGGAGGTAGCTATTCAGGTCATTTCGGTGAATTGCAATCAACTGGTTGGTACTTCAACCTGTTCTATCTGTTCTCTCGACGTCATCGTGACTGTCTAGCTATTGTTCACAGTTGTCTTACGCCAATGCTCCCTTTATCCTTTGGAGAGCCGAATTCGGAAAACGCAAAATAGCTTACTCCACTGTGACGAGTTTTTTGATGTCATCTTCACCGTTCGTCGCATTTCCAATCAGGAAACCTGTGAAGCATTCATACAGTAGACTGGGTAGTGGATGATTAATGTACATCAATCGGTACAATATGCGCAAGCGTTGGTAGTTAACTGGATTCAATATCAGCCGTCTGGTTACTCTCACCTAAACTGATTCGTTCACCGAAACGACACACTCGGACTTTCTTCTTAGATTCAAAGGCTACTTTTATTCATATCGGTCCCCAATTGTCTAAAGTGCTACTTATTCTTGCGTGATGTTCCAATCTTTATACCATAGTTCCACGAACCGCATAACGTTTAACGGAATGTTGTTTATCTGGCTCTCTGCGATAAGTAGTGTACTGCGATTCCACCACACTTGTTTCTTTCCTTTTTAATATAAATGACCACTTTCATCCAGTTAATTTAACCGGATTCGAAGCCATTTCAAAAGACAGACCGACTTGAATATTGTAATTCTACACGGCTTTAGGTGGGGCGGAACAACGAACCAGTTGGTTAGGATGTTAGTTTAATATTCTGATCGTCTTTATAAGGGGGATAAGATGGCTTCGTATATTGATTACTTATCCGATTACGATAAATCGCTAGATTCAGCCTGGGACATTGATAAAGGCACATGTTTTGTACCTGTATTACATTACATGTAACCATGTCACTGTGAGCCTTTGAAGTCACTTTGAAACGAAATGACAGCAGCCCCCTGCTCACCAATGTCAGCCCTAAGGTATAACAACTATCCGCGCATTAAATCAATAACGCTCACGGTCTCGATTTCGCTTACGTTGTCCACCGGAAACCTTCCACCGGTCTCTCTTATTGCTGCATCATTTATGTTACCTCTGAGTGAAATCGGAAACAAGTGGGGAACAGCGGAAACATTTGATCATACATGTGTACATACCTTTGATGTGTAAGCAATTGATTGTGAGCAACAGTATTCGCTGAGTTCTAAGTCAGCGTTTGCCTAGCTAGGGAGAGCTTGAGACAGTGAACGCAGGGAAGGTAAGGAACTAGCCACACACACACACTAATTGATACACACACTCACACGCATGCGCTGTGCGGTCGGCCGAGGTAATGCATAGGCGACCAGTTGCGGATGCAGCAATCTGCTCCGCTAGTTTTTTCTCGCTTGATGACGGTATCATTGGAATCGCTGGTGCCCGCACCCGAAGACCTCCATTACTTTTCGGTTCGTTTTCATCAGCGTAAATCGCAGAATGCCAACCTGTCAGTCAAACGCACGATGTACTACTATGTGCGATGGCTCTATCCCCTCAATTATGATCAAAGCTGCGGACGGGAAAAGTTTCTCTTTGACCATTTGTGCTTTTGTATCCCACCGTTAATTCATTATTAGGACCAGCAGTCGTTTAACGCCAGTGTTCATAGATGCGTTTCACGATAATTGCTCTAGGGACCATCTCATTAATCACCACAGTTCAAAGAATAGGTTACATTGACATCTTCAGATACGAAGGTTGTCAATTAGACGAAAATTAGCTAACACATTGAACTCACTGATTTCGTGACTTCTCAATGTCCGATCGGATTTCTAATTATTGTTGTGACAAATTTCCAATTCCCCGCCCAGGAAGGCGAAATGTTCCCATTCCACCCATTGTTCCAGTCGCTTTCTTCAAGACTCTTCGCTATGTCATGGAATAATTATCTCTGGGTGTCGCCCGACTACGTGCGGTATGGACAGACATCACACAAAGTGGGATAGTTTCTCCAACGGGTGGACTTCAGTGTTGTTCAGTCGCTGCTCTCGCTTTGCAACTTTTCGATGTCAAACAGCGCCAGTAATTTAAGGTCTTAGGAGCCCAGTACCTATGTCTCTGAGTCGTATGCTGACGCTGCTCTCACCGTCGCGCTATACCTTTGGTCAGTATACCGATTCATCTTCTGCAGCTTTGCAAAGCTATCTGGATGATGCGGAAACACGAAGTAACGATTTGACAATCACTGGTGATGCAACCGTTTAGAGCGATGAAAAGGCCGACCAAGTCCAATGGCTACTTGGCGATTTGGGATTGGTAATTTGTCGACACGATGCCCCGCTTTCGTTTGTGCGAGTAGCGTGCGCTGCTCATTCATGTCCATGCACCATCTCGGTCTGAAAAGTGTAGTATGTTTCGCACACTATACACCTACCAGTCTGATACTTGTGAGATTATTTCTCCATTGATCACCGAACTGTAGGATACTAGTAAGGCATCTTTTTAGAGTTTAGCATAATGCGAGGCACTCAAAGCACAGACTTCTTTAGACGCGCAAGTTTCCGGACTCGAAGGGAATTAATGTCACTTCGTAAGGGACTTTCTTCTGCTCACTCTTCGAATTGGGGGGCATCGTTACAGGCTGGTGTGACCAGCTGATTTCCACGCTGTCTCCAATCTAAGGATTACTGCTATGTTTGTTGCTCGAATACTTGACAGTGTCCAAGTACTTGATGAATCGCAGATGTGTTCAACGCAAACTGCATCGGGAGCGGAAGACAGTTTGGCTTCTCCTGCCTTGTCCCTCACGACTACGAGTTCGCGAGCAATTGCGATCAGAGTAAAACCACTGTGCTTTTCACCAGATGTCGTTCGACTCTTCCTCGATGGTGGCATTGACGGTTGATTACCGCAAACCCGGGGACACTCCTTGTTTACTATGCATGGTAGCCGGTGTGTCATCATCGCGGTCCATGCAAACCGATCGAATCTTCAGAAATTCCTTCATCATTATGACGTCCCGGTTTAGGTGGACAGACGATTTGGATTTCCCTTACAGTATGACATCGCAGGCGATTCCACTCTGTACCTGTTTCACCCACCTCACTCATTATGGTAGGGTAGTCCTTATTTGGTCTCAGCTGTGTTTTGTTTGAACTGACCTTACTCAATTACATATGACAGGACATGATAGACTTCCTCTATGAACCATCTCATTGCTGACGGAAGTGTTCTGGCTCCAAATCACTCCATACGACCTAGACTTATGCGGTTCTAATTTCCCAGCAAAGCTGCTTGCGATGTTACTACGGGTTGGCCACACATTTCAGGTGCATACTTGATGCTCTTGTCCATTGTACTCAGTCATCACTTTTACTTATTTACCGCCCCTGTGATACTAGGTACACTATATTTCACCAACCATCCACGGGCTCCTCATTATCCGAGTTCATTTAGCTATGAACAAATTCATGTGTCCACAAGGTCCATTTTTTATCCCCCACACATTAAAAAGCGAATTATCTGTTATTCGTCCTCTTGACCTCATGACTTTTGAATCATTCGTGGAGCTCTGTTCTCTGGACCAGCCATTCTCAACGGGGGCCGTAGAGAATTCCCGGGGAGCCCTGGGATGAGAAAATTTTTTAGGGGAGCCATAGGGAGCCGTGCTATGAAAAGTGGGTTGTGCTAACACAAGTAACAAAATTCATTTAAAATAATTTGCTAATAGTTTCCACGCCCTAATCCCCACTAGTAACTACAGGTCAGTGAAATGAATTACGCGCGGCTTTGTTCATGATTACCACTCCCGAACCTTTATCTGGTTTCATTACGACCACGTTCTTAGCTGGTAGTTCACGTAAGGCTGTGATGGCACATTTTTCATTAACTGGCATGGTTTTCACCTCATGAACGCTATCTGTTAACTTGTTTCTGAACCAAATAAGCTTATCAGAACTGGCTGGTTGGATCTCCTTAAAATGGCCAAAAACATTTTCACTTTGGGTTTCTATAAACAGGTTGTTCAAATTTCTAAGGGGGACTTTATAATCAAGCCCTTGATAATGCTTCTAACTGCAACGCATCAACTTGTACGTTGGGTAAATTTAGCACGTACTCACTGGGATCAGAAGCAGTTGGTTCCTCCTCCTGGTTGTTTGTCAGCGAATTTTCTAAACGAGTAGAGCGATTTCGTCTCGTACGATCAAGCCGAATATAATGAGAAGATGTGCGTCATACTCAGCGATGCGAGTAAATTCGAACGCTTCACAAAACTGGGAGGCATAACCAATGTCGAAACACGCATACTTCGTCACCTGGAATTGCTAATCCTCCACCGCGTGATAGGCTGTGATACATTTAATAGTTTGAAGCCGAGTGGTAGCACTATTCCACAGTGGTAGGGGTCCCCAAAGACACATACGAGTGAAGTGCCACTCAGGCCAATCCTTACAATGGTGAACACGCCCCAGCATAAACTCTCTCGTTGCTTAGTGAAGTTGCTATCTCCGCTGAAACAACAGTTCAATCCGTACAGTCTTAGACTCGTTTCAACTCATCGGCGACCCGGATGAACTCAACCTCTCCGACAAAGTCATGCGTTCCTTTGATATAGAATCCTTAGTTACCAATGTGTCGCTACATCAGACGGTTGATTAAGTGTGCGAATTAGCTGAAAACGGTGGCTGTTCGCTACCAATTCCGACTGAATTGCTCAGAGAATCTCTACCATTGGGCACGGAGAATATGGATTTTCGCTTCCGTATCACACCGTACCGTCAGTTTGACGGCGTGCAATATGTAGCCCATTAGGTCCTGTTCGCGTTGATTTCTTCATGCTGATGGTAGTAAGAAGTATTTCTACGGAACTAGCCCAGGTGTCCTACTACAAACGATATCTCCATGATATCTTGGCTTTCTGTTCTTCGGAGCAGCAGCTGACACATTTGGTAGAACTCCTTAACGGTGCTCATGCTAACTTACGGGTTGCATGCGAAGTGGGAGAGAACGATTGTCTGCCACATCTGCGCATACTCATAAGTCGCAGGAAATTTGGATTGATTAAGAGTTCCAGTAAATGTACTTGGTCCGTTCAGTACCTGCACTTCACTAGCTTCACGCCAATGCGGTAAAACGGACATTTATGAAAATCTAGTTAGTCGTGCCAGACGAATTTGTTCGGCCGACTGTCTGGACGATGAGCTGATGTGAATTTCGGCAACACTAATGGCGAACAGCTACCCTCGAAGATTCATCGAGAAGCACATCCAACCGCGAGGGTCAAAGGACTTGGTGCACACGACAGCCAAGAAGAACGTGTATATCTAGTTATCTTTCAAAGGTGATTTAGCCTCGCTGAAGACAACGAAGCGTATAATTTCGACTACACAAGGAAGTTACTATACTGCACAAATTGTCGTCATCAACCGAACCCGAAATTTGCCCATGCCTCCACCAAAGGAAGCTCAGCTTATTGGGGCCAACTCACATTGTATACCAATTTGTTTGTGACATCGGAAACTGTTAAATAGGCAGAAGTAATAGGACTCTGACTTCTTGAATGGATCATGTACCAAGATGGGTTCAACGTGAAATTTCTCAGGTTGCCTACCCGCATCAGATTCCGTGTTCGCGCAGACCGCCGGCTACGTCGGTAGGCGAACACCTATTAGACTCGGGTCACCAGACAGAACTGAGCTCAGCGTTCAAAGTTGTGTTACGTCACACTAATCCCCGTTTCCTTCGGTTTGTTGAGGCTGTCGCTATAAACCGGTGTGTTCAGAAACAATTATTTGTCAGCCTAAAGCTGTTTGGACGTAGGTATGAACGTCCGTCATTCGTTCTGCACCTTAAGCTTGTCTGGTTGCACCCACTGTTAGCTATCTCTATGCATATCGGTTATTGTTAATGGTAGTGAGGAGATAATACGAAATGCATGCATCTACCAGCCTTCGTCTTCTTTCCGTGCTTTTGAGATGTATTTTTTTACCTTTCCAAGCACACTTGGTTGAATGTGCATTCAACAGACTGGTTTCTCTAACAACAATAGAAACAGATTTGACATCACAACATGAGGCGCTATTCGACTCTTGCTCTCAAGTCTTAAGCCGGACATAAGCAAACTTGCTCATGGGCATCAGGCTGAAAGCTCGCATTAATAAAGGGTGGCGCAAGAAATGTCATACTATTTGTTTTGTTCATTACACATGTATTTATCATCAAAGCGTTACAAAATTAGTGCAGAATTATTTGTATGAGCATGGAAATTTACTGCAATGTAGTATGTGTTCAATATGATCACCATTTTGTTTCACAACCTCTTGCATGCTAACTTTTACATTTCTCACAATCTTCCTGCAAGTCTTCCGAAATTAGACGTCACAACTACATGATGAGAGCCCTAACTTGAGCTGCACTTGCGGGCTGCTTTGCGAAGCCATTGTCTTTCAACTAGCCGCACAAGAAGAAATAACTTGGATTGATGTTAGGGCTATGCAGAGACCACTGTCTCCCACCTTGGTGATGCTCAGGAAACGGATGTGGCATTACCCGACATCACACATGTCATACAGATAATCAAGAACAATATTTGCAGTTTGTGGGCGGGCTCCCTCTTGCATGAACCACTGAGTTTGTAATGGGAGAGCCGTTGCCAAGGGTTCTGGAATAAATCTGTTTTCCGACATGTCCTTAGATCGATCCTTGTTCACCTTCTGTTCGACACTCAAGCTGCTCTTATGCGCTATCTTGAAAATTGTGTTTGGCGCCAAACAAATATTCCATACCAACTTCTCATGGCATCTACTGGATTTTCCATAAACCAAAGTATACGAATACGAGTTTTCAACTTTACATCTATGATATTACATGTGTAATGAACAAACAAATGCTATGGCATTTCGTGAACCACCTTGCATCTCGACTAACATATTGTTACGGTTACTACGCCTCCTAATTCATGACATGCCTTACAGTTAAAAGCCAACAATAAGTAAATACAATTTTAAATATTACTGATAAGTTTTGTGTAATTACGGACTACTGGCTTGGTGTTGCCGCACAATGAATGTTATCTCGAAGTTGTGCAAGTTAAAATATGGGGTTTATAAGGGAAAGAGCAGTGATACCAGCATTAAAATGTAGCCACTGTAACAAAAGATACCAATATGACCACTGGAAACCACAGCTTTACGTCTGTTATGCGTTGTGGATTGCTGCAATTGTGGTGATCAAGGCCGGGGGGGGGCCATAAGAAATAAAATGGTTCGAAACGGGGCCATGGCTGAATAAAGGTTGAGAATGCCTGCTCTAGCCTGTGCGGCACCATACCCTATGGTGGCTGCGGCTTCCGCATTACGTTTTTCCACTTTTTTTTACCCTGAACCGTTCGATATGTGGCTACGTTCCCATGAAGGGTTGATTCGCCTTATAGTTACGCGTGGTGCTCCTTGCGAAATTCGGGCAGCTCACATGTCATTCCCATTTTTTCACCTTTAGGCTGATCTTCGTAACCGTGAAGAAAGGGGCGTGAAACTTGGTCTGGGCGACTTTGTCTTCTACAGTCTGCTCATCGGACGTGCCACTTTGGACGGGGACTCCATCACAGTGGTTACGTGTTATGTGGCAATTTTGGTCGGAATGTGTGTCACAATTATTTTTCTAGGCATCACAGGCCGCGCGCTACCTGCTCTTCCGATTTCTGTCACCTGTGGAATTTTGTTTTACTTTGTCACTTCTAAAGCAATCTCCCCTTTTCTTGACGCATTGGCTTTGGAACGTTTGTTTTTCTAGCTCTATCCTATTGGCTATTTTATTCGATTTCTGGTCATTGATGTTCAGCATAATTTCACACTACAGAAACATCTGAGGACAATAATGCTCTCCTGCTTAAGTCTTCTATTGTGTTCTGTTCTGACGTCGACTTCTACCGTAAAACGTGGGAACTGTATGTTATACGGACGAAGGAACTCATTCGTTGCCCGGTCGTTTAGAATGCATTTGATAAAACTATTAAAGGCTTTGTTGTCTATGAGTTATTTTTGAACGTTAGCCCATCGGGAAACCTTTTAATTCCTTACACCCAATAAGCCTAGTAGTCTTTTGTGTACTCGCCATATTCATAGCTATTGACGAACATTCACGGATCAGTGATGGTTTCTATTGGGACACTTGATGAGGCAAATTTTAGATATCTGCTCGCACCATCGTTTTGACCACTGTGACTGCCACAACTATAGGGCTATATACGATGAGCACGAATGATACAGCAGCAATCAAGGCGTCCATGTGGGCGACATATTTTCCTCGTTTTGATTTTGTTACACCGTCGGGTTTGCCTTGCACATGCTGTTCTCTTGCATCCTCTTAGAAGATCAATCCTCATCTGCCGGCGCGTTCACTTAAAAGGCCTGATGCATTTGGTCTCTTTTGATACGTGCGCCCTCATTTTTGATGGCACTTTGCTAAGGAAGCTTTTTGGTCGAAGTACTTATTCATGGCGGAGCATACATGTGTGCTCGACGTTTGGGGATCGATTGATGTATCCAGTAGCTCGAGAATCCATCTATGCAGGAGGTAATACTGATTATTTCTTCTTTACCATTATGGACTGCCTCGAATTGTGAATTTTCTTTCGCACAAATTCTGCAACGTTGCTCCTGTGCCCCTTGAGCACATTGATGATGCATACGTAACAGTGCACCTGATCGCGTTAAACTAGACCGTGCCACATGTGCCCCATCATCCGTTTTCCCTATCAGAGTTACCTTACATTGCCATATGATCGTCTACTGCAAAGGTGTCCAAAGCCCGGCGTGCGGGCCAACAGCGGCTCGCGTAAACATTTCAACTGATCTGCCGCGTCATCATGACATAATAAACTCATGCTTGGATTTTTTCTCAACTGTGTCATTTCTGTTGTCATCTTAATGTTCAGACTGAATATGGCCCAACATATTTTTACCTCACAAAATGTGGCCCTCTTTGCAAAAAGCTTGAACGTTCCTGGTCTACTGTCTTTGATGGGCAAGAGTAAAAAAATGTATAATGACCACTGCCCAGTTCTTTAGTAAAACTCGGTAGCAGGCATGACGCCGATGCTGAGCTTTGCGACACGTTACATTTCGATCGATTCATCTTGTGATCTTTGAGTACGTATAGAAAGTTGCCCATCCGATCCAAAGCAAAATCAAAGGTGCTATCTTTTAGATTTATTGTGAGAGAGTTTCACTACCCAGATAATCAAACGCCTTTGAGGAGTCCAGATAGGTGACACCAACTCCATCCAATAATTGACAGCTTCGGTTTAACTTGCACGGGCTATCTGCGTGTTCATAGTATTTGGTCGCTTTTTGGGAGATCCATGTTGTTACCGCATACGGTATTTCCTTTCCCCAACTGAGTCACCTGGGTTTGATGAGATGGGAAGTATCAAAAGGATTTACCGAGATGTTATTCGTGGATTCAACACTAGCCCGTTGTGAATACGTTTGATGCTCCTATTTTTACACCCGTTAAAACCCTGCGTCTCACTAACACATGATTGAAAGAACTACACTAACAATTCCTCGCCGTTCCTCAGTCACCTCCAGTGGTTGCATCGACTTTACAGTGTTCGCACAGGCTACAACCTCTTCCAGGTCTCTTCAGTCCTAATACAGAGCTAATCCCCGGTGGTGCTATCATCTATGTGAAAGGATGCAGACAGCAGTACATCCTGAATCGCAAGGGTGACGTGTCATCGGAGAGCGTTGGTAGCTCTTCATTCTTGAAACACTGCCCTTTACCCACTTGGTGAATGCGGACAGAAGACAAAACTTGCCTACCTCCATATGTTGCATACAATCGGATTCGGTGGTACATTTCCGCATATTTTGTTATCGTCCTTATTCGCTTCTTGTTGACGTGTCTTCTGCGCCACCAGGCCTTTGGGTATCTGTCTTTTCCCATTCGAATGGACATTCTTACAATCAGAGTTACGCGATGAAGACCGGATGCTCACTAGATGGACTGAACTCATACATGAAGCCTCTCGATGGGCTATCCAGCATGGGAGCAGGTCCCAGAAGACAGTTCCATGAATGGTTTTTCTGGCGAGCACGAACTTCAGACCTTCGAGAAGTCGCCTCGCTACTTGGCATCCCCCTTCTCCAACACAAACGGGGTCACAAATTGATCACATATAAATCAGCTTCAGATAGCAGAGCAGTGTACGGGATTGCAGATCGATTTGGTCTACCTACCTCGACTCAGAACACCCTCTGGTCCGTAGGAACATCTGCATGTGCTTTGGCTGTTCCTCGAAACCGAAGCACCGTACGCTGGATACCAACAGACTATCTAACTCCTCCATTTACATGACCTATCAATCCCCCCTGTCAGATGCGCTCGCCTGTGCTTCACTTACAGAAGTCGAATATCACTGGAATTACTTGTAAATGGCGTTGCTTTCATCCCATCAAACATACTATGGAATTGTTGCTTGTCGGCTGAGAGGCTGGATCTCTGCTCTCTCTTCATAATCGTTTGACAGTCGCCGGGCCATGCCAGTTGATTCAAGCTGCGATGTAGTTTACTTCAACAGCCAACAGCTCAAGCAAACCTTGCGTAACGATCGTGGAACTTAGCGGTCACAGCACACTTTGAAGATGGAAACAGCAGCTCTTCTTGGAAATTTTCGAAGACTTCCAGATTATTCGGACTACTGGCCACAGCAGACTTGATGTCAGTGAAGCTATTTGCGAGGTTGTTGAATCACCAGTCACTATTTTGCGTAGGCGCACGGACCGCTGGGCCGAGCACGCGCTCTCAATTCTTTTGGCCTCTTCCTGGTTGTTTAACGAGTATGGCTAATTACGTGCATTGGAACGTTTCACTGGAACCACCTACCGAAGCGGAATACCGCCTTGAGCTTGCTCACTTGAAGCGATTCATAGCTGCTGACTCAGACGGACTTTATCAGGCACTGTTCAAGTTCGGTGGCGAAGCAAGTGTCAGCTACTTAACAGTTCTGTTCCCCAAGATTTGGTTTGAAGTAAAGGTTCCATCCTCTTGGGGCGACTCGATTATTGTACCCATCTTCATAAAGCGTGCTCGTACCTCATGGGCTAACCACAGAGGAATCAGTTTACTATCCTTTGCCTCCAGATTGCTAACTTCCATTCTACTGCACAGGCTAACACCCATTCGCGAACTACACTCCCGTTAGGAACCGGCTGGTTTCCGCTTCGGTCGAGGATATGTGGATCACATGTTTACGCTCTGCCAACTCCTCGAGCAGCCCGTCTTAAATGCCAGCCTATCATTGTCACCATTTTAGACATCCAAGCTTCATTTGACTCGATCGATCGGCCTGCTTTAAAGCGTTGTCTACAAAGAAATTGAGTGCCCTACAAGTATACCATATTACGAGTTTTATACAACGATGTCTCTGGCAGAGTGAGATCTTGCGGTAAGCTTTCCTCAGCTTCCAATGTCACTTGCGGCGTGCGACAGGGATGCCCCATATCCCCGTTCCTCATTAACTTGGCGATTCAGTATGTCCTATTAAGCGCTGCTGAAGGTCCCTAAGGTTCTGGTGTACAGCTTCTTTCAGGCAACCACTCAACTGACTTGGACTATGTTGATGATTTTGCTTTGCTCAGTGACGACCCACAAGTCATGCAGGTCGTTCTCAACCGCATGATGACTGAAGCTACCAAGTGTGACATGTCCTTCATCGAAATGCAAGGTCCTACTCCAGGATTGTCATCCACCTGCCACCGTGGGGGTTCTTGATAACGCACAGCTTGAACATGTAAATAGCTTCATGTACGTTGGGGACTGCGTCTCTTCTGATGGCACCACTGGAAGAGTGATTTCTTTCCGTATCATCAAAGCCCGATCAGTTTTCGCTGGTTTAAGGCATTCCATCGCAATGAGGCTGGACGTTACCATGGTACGATGGTTTGTTTGCCTCAGCGATCCATTAAGCTATGCTGAGTGGTGCTTTTGCACCTTCAGAGTCACTCATACCAGATTGGTCAATGGCTAGAGGCCAGTCAAACTCAGCCACCTGGTCCTCCAGGTTGGTGGTTGGAATGAGGGTGGCACATTCCTTAAAACACACTCCTTGTAATAGTAAAAAATCCCATTGATAAATGAAAACTCAATGTTTTCAAGCGAACATATGTTTTCAATAATTCTTCGTCAGGCTTGTACAATTATATGCAGAAAATAACCAAAATGTAGACACAGCACACGGACTGGTAAAGCATGCAGTTCACAGTCGATGGTCACTATCAGTCACTGCCCCCTAGAACACAGTTGTAGCATGTGCACAATTCCTTGGTATGGACGGAGTAGTTCGTCTGGGCCAAGTCAAGCACAGCGTGTGGATCTTTTCTGGACGCACAGTTCTGGCTCGTATAGTCTGATTGCTAAACTCTCCGCCGATTCAAGTAAGCGCATGCGAACGCATTTTCATCGATTTTCAGGTGGTCGATAGATGACCTGAAGTGCCACAGCTAGATTGGGAGAATGGTCCGTGTCAGCAAGATGCGTGGCGATGGATGAGTTAGTTAGCTTTCGGCACCCAGTCGCAAGCCAGGCCGGATGGTGTTCTCTCACCCTATCAGACAGGCGCCTCGTCGTACGGCCAATGTACCCTGAACCACAAGAACAGGTGAATGAGTAAACACACATGGAATTGGCGTGGACAGGTCTTTTGGGTTAGTTTTCACCATCGGGCTACTGGTGAAGTGGATCTGCATTTTGGCTGCTGGAAAGGTGTGCCTGAGAGCGCGGGAAATACGACGACTTAGAACTTCAGCTACGATTTCCCCTTTGTACGGTAATTGTAGAAAAATGGGTTTCTTTTCGGCTGTGAGGGTTACAGGAGATTTCCTCCTTGGCTCCATGTTGGCTTTAATGAGTCCATCCGGGTACCCATTTTCCTTCAGGGTTAAGCGAATGCGCTGTAGTTCCTCAGCTAATGTGCAAGTGACATTGGAAGCTGAGGAAAGCTTACCGCAAGATCTCACTCTGCCAGAGACATCGTTGTATAAAACTCGTAATATGGTATACTTGTAGGGCACTCAATTTCTTTGTAGACAACGCTTTAAAGCAGGCCGATCGATCGAGTCAAATGAAGCTTGGATGTCTAAAATGGTGACAATGATAGGCTGGCATTTAAGACGGGCTGCTCGAGGAGTTGGCAGAGCGTAAACATGTGATCCACATATCCTCGACCAAAGCGAAACCAGCCGGTTCCTAACGGGAGTGTAGTTCGCGAATGGGTGTTAGCCTGTGCAGTAGAATGGAAGTTAGCAATCTGGAGGCAAAGGATAGTAAACTGATTCCTCTGTGGTTAGCCCATGAGGTACGAGCACGCTTTATGAAGATGGGTACAATAATCGAGTCGCCCCAAGAGGATGGAACCTTTACTTCAAACCAAATCTTGGGGAACAGAACTGTTAAGTAGCTGACACTTGCTTCGCCACCGAACTTGAACAGTGCCTGATAAAGTCCGTCGAGGTCAGCAGCTATGATCGCATTCTAAGTGAGCAAGAGCTCGAACGGCGGCTATTCCCGCTTCAGGTTAGGTGGTTACCAGTGAAACGTTTCCGCAATGCACGTAATTAGCCATACTCGTTAAATCAACCAGGTAGGAGGCCATCAATTGATTTGAGAGCGGCAGTGCTCGGCCCAGCGTGTCCAGGTCGCGCCCTACGCATAAATAGTGACTGGGTGATTCATCAACTCTCGCAATAGCTTACACTGACATCAAGGTCTGCTAGCTTGCGCCAGTAGTCCGAAGACCTCCCTCTCTGGACAAGTCTTCGGAAATTTCCAAGAAGAGCTGCTGGTTTCTCATCCTCACATGTGTGCTGTGATGCCGCGTAAGTTCCACGCATCGTTACCGCATAGGTTTGCTTGAGCTGTTGGCTGATAGTTGAGAAGTAAAACTCGCTATCCGCAGCTTGAACTCAGCTGGGCATGGCCCGGCGGATGTCAATCGATTATGAAGAGAGAGCAGAGATCCAGCCTCTCAGCCGACAAGCTAAACCAATTCCATTGTTGGTTTGATGGGATGAAAGCTACGCCTTTTACCAAGTAATCCAGTGATTTTCGACTTCTGTAAGTGAAAGCACTGGGCGAGACGGCATCCGACAGGTGGGGATTAATAGGTCATGTAAATGGAGGAGTTAGATTAGTCTGTTGGTATTCCAGAGATACGGTGCTTCGGTTTCGAGGAACAGACCAAGCACTGCAGAATGTTCACTACCGGTCCATGAGGGTGTTCTGAGTCGAGGTAGGTAGTCCAAAGCGATCTGCATATCCCGTACATGCTCATGCTATATGTATATGTGATTTATTTGTGATCAATTTTGTGAACCCCGTTTGTGTTGGAGAAGGGGGGGATGCCAAGTTGCGAGGCGACTTCTCGAAAGGTCTGAAGTACGTGCTCGCCAGGAAAATCCATTCATGGAACTGTCTTCTGGGACTGCTCCCTTGCTGGATAGCCCATCGAGAGGCTTCCTGTATGGTAGTTCTGTCATCTAGTGTGGCATCGGTCCTTTCATTCGCGTAACTATGATTGTAATGATAATGTCCATTCGAATGGGAATAGACAGATACCAAAGGCATGGTGGCGCAGAAGACTCGTCAACAAGAAGCGAATAAGACGATTAAACAAAATAGGCGGAAATGTACCACCGAATCGATTGTATGCAACTATGGAGGTAGGCTAGTTTTGTCTTCTGTCCGCATTCACCAAGTGGGTAAAGGGCTGTGGTTTCAAGAATGTAGAGCTACCAACGCTCTCCGTTGGACACCTCACCTTGCGATTCAGGATGTAATGCTGTCTGCATCCTTTCACATAGATGATTTTGTGAAAGGATTGCAGACTGCAGTTACTTCCTTAATAGCAAGGGTGATGGTGTCATCGGAGTGCGTTGGTAGCTCTTCATTCTTGAAAACACTGCCCTGTACCACACTTGGTGAATGCGGGACATGAAGACCAATACTTGCTACCTCCATAGGTTGCATACAAATCGGTTTTCGGTGTGGTACATTTCCGCATATCTTTGTTATCGTCCTTATTCGCTTCTTGTTGACGTTGACTCTGCGACAACAGGACCTTTGGGTATCTGTCTTTCCCATTCGAATGGGAATTTACTTACAATCAGAGTTACGCGATTGAAGACCGGATGCTTCTCTTGATGGATCTGAACTCATACTTGAAGCTCTCGATGGGCTATCCAGCAGGGTGAGGCAGGAGTCCCAGAAGCAGTTCCATGATTTGGTTTTTCTGGGCGAGCACGAACTTCAAGACCTTCGAGATGTCGCTCGCTACTTGGCATCCCCTTCTCCATCATCAATCGGGCGGTCTCAAATTGTTCTTCATATAAATAGCTTCCGATAGCAGAGCAGTGTCCTCGGGGATTGCTTGATCGATTGGTCTTACCTTCCTCGACTCAGAACACCCTCTGGTCCGTAGGGATACATTCTGCATGTGCATTTGGAATTCTGTTCCTCGACAACCGAAGCACCGTACGCTGGATACCAACAGACTATCTATCTCCTCCTTTACATGACATATTAATCCCCCCTGGTCGGATGCCGCTCGCCTGTGCTTCACTTACAGGAAGTCGGTTTTTCACTGGAATTACGTTGTAACTGGCGTTCGCTTCATCCAATCAACATACATGGGTAATAGTTTGCTTGTCGGCTACGAGGGCTCTGGTTCTCATGCTTCTCTCTTTCATAATCGTTTTTTTTGGTCTGTCGCCGGGCCATGCCAGTTGATGCAAGCTGTTGCGTTGTAGTTTACTTCAACAGCCAACAGCTCATGCTAAAACCTTGCGGTAAACGATTGTGGGAACTTAGCGGTCACAGCTCACTTTGAAGATGGAAATCAGCAGCTCTTATTGGAAATTTTCGAAAGACTTCAGATTAATTCGGGACTATGGCCTCAGCAGACTTGAGGTCAGATCGTTGTAGCTCTTTTGCCGAGGTAGTGAAATCACCAGTCACTATTTGCGTAGCGCACGGTCCGCTGGGACTGAGCAAGCGCTCTCAATTCTTTTGGCTCTTCCTTGGTTGTTTAAACGAGTTGGCTAATTTACGTGCATTGGATACGTTTCACCTGGGATCCACCTACCGAGCGGAATACCGCCTTGAGCTTGCTCACTTGAAAGCGAATTCATGCTAGGCGACTCAGACGGACCTTTATCAGGCACTGTTCAGTTCGGTGGCGAGCAAGTGTCAGAGACTTAACAGTTATGTTCCCCATGATTTTGGTTTTGATGTTACGGTTCCATCCTTCTTGGGGCGATCTCGTTTATTGTACCCATCTTCATAAAGCGTGCAGCTACCTCATGGGCTAACCACAGAGGAATCAGTTTTCTATCCTTTGCCTCGATTTGTCTAAGTTCCTTTTCGGCACAGGGCTAAACAACCATTCGCGAACTTACACTAACGGTTGGTACCGGGTTTTTCCGCTTCGGTCCGAGGATATGTGGCATCCATGTTTACCTATGCCTACTCCTCGAGCAGGCCCGTCTTATATGCCAAGCTTAATTGTCACCATTTTAGACATCCATGCTTCATTTGACTAGATCGTATCGGCCTGCTTTAAAGCCGTTGTCTACAAAGATTTGAGTGGCCCTTACAAGTTTACCATATTACGAGTTTTTTTTCAACGTGGTCTCTGGCAGTGTGGAGATCTTGCGGTATGACTTTCCCAGCTTCCAATGTCACTTGCGGACGTTGGCGACTGGGCAGTATTTTTGTATTGTGTGTGGGTGGGTGGGCTGGGGGGGGGGGGGGGGTGGGGGGGGGGGGGGGGGGGTGGGGGGGGGGGGGGGGGGGGGGGGGGGGGGGGGGGGGGGGGGGGTGGGGGGGGGGGTGGGGGGGGGGGGGGGGGGGGGGGGGGGGGGGGGGGGGGGGGGGGGGGGGGGGGGGGGGGGGGGGGGGGGGGGGGGGGGGGGGGTGGGTGGTTTTTTGGTGGAGGGGGGATTTTTTTTAGTTTCGTTGGGGGGGTGGGATGGGGGGGGTTTTGGGGGTTTTGAGGGGGGGGGAGGAGCGTGGGGGGACCTTGTATTGTGGGGATTTGGTGGTGGGGGGGGTGGGGGGGGTATGAGGCTGGTGGATGGGTTTT